GGCGGCGCGGTCAATGGGGCGAGCAGAGGCAAGCAGCGGCGAGTTTGGCTGAGGGGAGCGCAGCACTCTCGTTCAGCACACCGTCCGGAGCTGTCGAACCACCCTCCGGCGCCGCCTCGTCACTCGCCGGCGCGGCCGCTGCGGGCGTTGCGGCAGACGCCGGCGCCGCTGCGGCGGAGGCCGGCGCCGCTGCGGCGGAGGCCGACGCGGGGCTGCTGGCCGCCGCCGCCGCCGCCGCGCCGTCCGACGGCTTTGCGTCGGTCGCCGCGGTCATGAAGGACGCGACGTCGAACTCATCGAGCGCGGCGCGCTCGTCGCTGGTGCGGGCGAGCGCGTGCTTGCGCATCTGGCCGAGCTTGAGTGCGACCGACCCGAGCGGGCGCACCTGCTGGTTGTTGTGCTCGCCCGTCCGCGCCTGCACCGCGCGCGCCACCGCGACGCACAGCTGGTTCTGCCACGAATCGCGCTGGCACGCCTCCTGCACGGTGATGCTTGGGAAGCTGGGGGGCGACTCTGCAAGGTCCGGAGCGTGCGTCGAGAGGAAGTCCTTGGACTTTAGGCAGTCAAGCACGACGGTGACCTCGGCCGCCGCCCAAGCGTTGGGGACATTCTTGCCGCCGCCGCGTCGAGGGGGCATGCCACGCAAGCAGTGGCGGCGGGAGACACAGAGCAGGTCAAAAGTCACAGCGGCGCCGATGGAGCGATGTGAAGGCGCGCGCGAGGAAATTTCTCTTAGGGCGTCTGCACGGATCCAGTCCCGTGGGGAGAGGAGCCCCCGCCTGGGGGCTGCCCGTGCGGCTGTGGCTGCGGATGTACCGGGTACCCACCGCCGCCGCCCGGCTCGCCGCAGAAGATGCACCTGAAGGGTGTCGGGCTCCTTTACGACGGCACGTCAACCAGCCCTTCCAAATACCTCGACCTCATCGTCACAAACACCACGCTCTACACGCCGTGGAAGAGCACGGAACAAGGGCGGAAAGTCGATAGCGTCTTTGGAGAGATCTCGATGGCGGCAGACACCTCCACCACCTTCAAGTTCGAGTTCGCCGACTCGGAGACGGGCGCCGCCGCCGAAATCCCCTACGGCGCGCCGCCCTCTCCCCAACCGCCCTCTCCACAACCGCCTTCCCAACCGCCCTGCTCGTCCGACCGCGACTGACCCCACCCCACCTCGCCTCCGCGCGGCAGAGTTCGACATGTGCATCATGGACACCGACACGGGTGTCGACGGCGTCCTGCAAGAGTCTGGGGAGTTCTGCGGCACGATAGGCGACTACCACCACGGCAAGAAGCCCCCCGAGAGCCGCTACTTCTACGATTACATCTGCGACAACATCGACGCGGAAGAGTACGTGGAGATCACGCGGGAAGAGTGCGTGACGATCAAGGGGCTGGCCGAGGGCACGGGGCCCGACAACCCGAGGCTCTGGGACGATGTGTGGATGACGCCCGCCGCCCAGAACTCGTGTGCCGACTACGACAAGTGCCCCGCATCTGGCACGTCGGGCTACTGTCGGGGTCCGGGCGATAAGATGTGCGACATCATCAAGTGCCCGGGCCAGACATCGACCAAAGCGGGCGCCGGGCTCTACTCGTCCTCTTCCAGGCTCACCTCGCGCCTGAGGGGCAAGCCGTTCCGCTACACCATGCCCAAGTTCGTGTGCTTCACATACCCAGCTGGCAGCTCCTCCTTTACCTTGACGTACACGGTCGGGGGAAACCCGGGGGCGCCGCCGTACTATGGGCGCAACTTCATGTTTGGCGGCACGAGCATCGAGAAGCAGTGCGCCGACCCCCAGGCAGCATCGCTGCGGAGCAGCACCTGCAAGGACTGTCAGTTTGAGTTCAGCCTTGACGCGGAGGGCCCCTGCCCTCCCCCCGCACCGTCCTCGAGCTGCCCCATTGTCGGCGAGTCCATCCTCTCCGAGTCGCTGCCAGCTGGTGTAAAGTGTCTCGACGTGACTTGCTCGGCGGGCCGGCGCCGCCGGCTGCAGAGCGACTCCCCGACGGTCACCCTTACCGTGATGCTGGAGGCGCCGTCGGCGGCGGCGATCGAGTCGGTGGAGGCGAGGCTGTCTGAGCTGATGTCGAGTATCGCGGCCGCCTCCACCCTCCTCGGCATTCGCGTCATCACCCTCCCCGTCTTCCGCCCCGACTACACTGGCCGCCGCATCACGACCACCGAGTACACGGGCTTGGTGGTCGGCTGCGCCCTGGGGGGTGTTGCGGCCCTCGCGCTGCTAGGGCTGGGCGTGCGGCACGCGCTGCGCAGGGCGCAGGTCCGCCCCGCGGTCCAAAAGCGCCCCGCCGAGCTCGAGGCCGCCCAGCAAAGCTGGGAGTGACGGCGCGGCGCAGCAGTGACCCACCACCCACCTCCAGACCTACTCTCGCACTCACACTCTCGTCTCGTATCCCATCATGTCGCGCCGCCCTGCCGCCGCCGCCGCTGTCGCCGCGAAAAGGGGTGTATGGCCTCGCCACTCAGAACATGCAACGGGCCCCCACTGAGTTCGCGCCGGCGGGCCCCCGCCGACGGTTTGCTGGGTCTTATTTGTACCCCGCTCACCCCGCCGAGGGCGAGGCCGCGCTTCTCCGGGGCTCCGGCGGCACGCGCGCCTTCCCCGCGCTCTTTTTATTTCGTATGTCGATGTATCATGTCTGTTAGATTAAACGGCGGGAATCTGGGGCGGCTGGTGGACACAGGACGGTGGGACATTGGGGGCTCTGAGACAGTCTCAGAAGGGAGACACACACTGAACACTCGAGAGGTTGGAACCCTATGAGCTCGCCCTCACATACAGGCGGACAGGTTGTGCCTGTGGGCGGGGCTGGCCGGCAGCGATGCGCTCAGTCAGAGGCCACTATACACTGCAACGCAGGAAGGCACTCTTGGCACTATCCTGGGCCTACGCGACAGACGTGCAAAGGGGAAAAAGCCGGATAAACGATGGCAGCGCTGCGCCCTCGGCTCACCGTGTGCCAGAGACGCTGGCCCGGTGTCCATGCTTGCCGACATGCAGCCAGCTGCCCAAGACTGAGGCCTCGGTCGGTGGCCGTTCCGTCGCATCGCAGGAGAGGTCGGCGCCGCTGCTCGAGTCGCCTCCAAAGAACACCCGGCCGCCTCCCAGGTCGTCGCTGTCGCGCGGCGAGAGCTCGCTTTCCCGCGGCGAGCTTGCTGGCGTGCTGCCACGGGACATGCGGCGTACAAAATCGGCGTCAAAGAGCGGCGGCGGCAGCGGCGGCAGCCCCCGCAGACGGCTGGGCACGAACGGGCTGCGAGAGCTCCGCTGGCTCATGGAGGAGCTCGAGTCCGGCACGTCCACACTGGCGGGGTAGATCGTGCGGGAGAAAGGTCCGGCAGGCTCCATATCGCGCAACGCTTCTCGAGGATCGTCCTGGACGAGTCCCAACAGTCAGAAAAGAAGAAAACGCACACCAGCAGCAACAGCGGTAGCAGCGGCGGCAGTGGCGGCGGCGGCGGTGGTGCGGATGCGTCTTCGATCGCTGCGATCGACGGAGCTCTAGGCTCGCTGGTGCGCTCGCTGCGTTCTGGACGACGCCGCTGGATGTGATGCGTACGAAGCATGTGTTGTGAGTTGGACAGAGGACCACACCGCTCTCAGCTCCCCCCCCCTCCTCTCCTACCCCCCCCCACACACACACACAAACAACACGACGCGATCTTTGTCAAGCGCAACAACTTCAACCTGCTGCTCCACGAGACGTTCGGCGGCGGCTTCTCGCCCACCGCCGTTCTCAAGCTGCGCCGCCTCGCGCGCAAAGTCGCGCGCGGCAGCGTCGACCGCACGGCCTACTCGCCCAAGTACTCGCTCTCTTTTATGTCCCACCATGCAGAGCGCATCTCTCTCTCTGTTGTGCGAGGCGTGAACCGCGCCATTCGCTCTCACCTGGTAACCCTGTCTGCACGTCTCGCGCGCGCGTGAACAGGGCTCCAGGCCCCAAATTACGTGTGAGTGTTAGAGTTGTTTGGCATTGCTAAAAATCACACACACACACACACACACACACACACACACACACACACACACACACACACACACACACACACACACACCTCTGGGCCGGCGCGGGGGGCCCAGAGGGTGTCCATGCGGGGGGGAGATGGGGTCCCATGGCCCGCCGCAGGCGCCGATTTTTTTGAGTTTTTCTTTTTTCGCAATTTTTTACTTGTTTTCATGGGAATTCGGCGTACTTGCGGCCATGCTATCACGCCTTGCGACAGCCTGTCGGCGCTGCTGACCGTGCCATGCTGCACAATTGATCACCTGCATAGCTCGCGGCCTTAGTATTAAGCATTCAGTGACGACCTGATCGTACGGCCAGTAGGAAGGTGTCCTTCCAGCTGCGTGCACGCTTCTGGCGCAATGCGCGTCACCTCGGATGGGCTGCTGGCACTCTCGAGGCTATGCCTACACAGCCTCGCGCGCATGGGCAGTCAAGAGGGACCACGCACTTTCTCAGGACAGCGCCAGTGCCTCTCCCTTGGACCGGCAAACGTGGTGGTCTCGTGTCACCAATGTGGGACCAGTGCGGCATCGCGCCATCGACAGCTCTGAACTGCGCCTCACCACTGACCGGGAAGGCCGCCAAGTGGGCCGGCACAGGTCGCACATTGTGGCAGCAGTCAGCAGTGCATGGCTGATAGCTAGAGCAGCAGCGTCAGGGTCGCAGGGTCGGATCGTGTCAAGCCTCTCGCCCGGCCGGCCGCGTGCAGACGTCGGCCTGTCTGCTGTCTGCAGTGATCTGTCGGCGGTCAGTACGACCGATCAGGTCGGAGTTTTCTGATGGTTGGAGGGTCTATCTGTATGTACTCCTCGAGATCTCTCCAAATCTGCCCTCTGTTAGACCGGGTTAGATCGGGAAGTCGGTGCTCATAGAGACTCATAGAGCCGGAGCCCCGTTTCCGCACTGCTGCGCGGCGCACGGTGTGGGCCGGGGGCCCCCGCGCCGGCCCAGACACACACACACACACACACAGTTGCTCTGGGAAAGCTCGCGCGCCAGCGCGCACCACCCTCTGAAAAAAATTGCTTTAATCCAAAATACTCGGCACAGTGCTATCCCCTACCCCCCCCCCCCCGTCCTCTCCGGACTAGACATGTGCGCTACATTGCCTAGGGGTGGGGTGGTGGGGCCTATTGGGGCATAATGGCTTGTTGTAGTGGATATGAGTTGTGGGCGTGGGTCGCTGGCTTTCGCCAGCCTTTGCAGGCATCCTAAGTTCGGCGGCTCAGCCTCCTCTGCGCCAGGGATCGCGCGGGGCGCAGCACGCCCTGTGTCGTCTGCGCGAGATCCTAGTCCCTGGTTCACCGAGGCGCCCCCTACAGGGAGTCAGCTCAGCCGCGTTCCTTGTAGTGTGATGCCTTTAAGTCTTTAGGTGTTCGATGTGCTAGCTTGTGAGGCCTTGACAAACTTTTGATCTCTCGTGCGTGAGTCGTCGCCTCTTCTGTGGTGAGGTGGTCGAGTCCCACTCTCCTTAGTTCTTCATTCACTCGCCTGCTCAGTCGTAGTCTGCCGTAGTAATCAATCGTCCCCATGGGTTCTACTTTGTCGCTGATTTCTTTCATGGTCGAATCGCTGACTCGGTCGCTCTTGCGTCTTATTCGTCGGAGCCTAGTTCTGGCCTCCCCCGAGTACGCTTGCATGTTTCTCACTAATAGGTTCAAGACCGCCTTCCAGGTTTGTTCGGGTTTGATGTCTTCTTCTTCGTAGAAGGAGACTATTATTTGATTCCACATGTGTAGATGAAGTGCGTTGTGGACCTCAGGCGTGTCCGCCGAGGTTCCGATGATGGTGAGTAGTCTCGGCGGATGTATGCTCAGTGACTCTCCTTGTGCAAAGACCGCGCACCACCCTCTGCCACCCTACTGCCTACTGCCTCCAGCCCCATGGCACATGATATTGGGAGAGTTTTGTTGTCATTAATAAACAAACAGACAAGCCCGCTGCTAGTGAACACAATCGGGTCCTACAAGACACCACTCAGCTATTACTGACTGCTAGTGAACACAATCGGTTCCTACAAGACATCACTCCGCTACTGAACACTCGAGGTTGGAACCCTATGAGCTCGCCCTCACATACAGGCGGACAGGTTGTGCCTGTGGGCGGGGCTGGCCGGCAGCGATGCGCTCAGTCAGAGGCCACTATACACTGCAACGCAGGAAGGCGCACTCTTGGCACTATCCTTGGCCTACGCGACAGACACGTGCAAAGGGGAAAAAGCCGGATAAACGATGGCAGCGCTGCGCCCTCGGCTCACCGTGTGCCAGAGACGCTGGCCCGGTGTCCATGCTTGCCGACATGCAGCCAGCTGCCCAAGACTGAGGCCTCGGTCGGTGGCCGTTCCGTCGCATCGCAGGAGAGGTCGGCGCCGCTGCTCGAGTCGCCTCCAAAGAACACTCGGCCGCTGCGCGAATGCTCCCACATCCCTCCTCCCAGGTCGTCGCTGTCGCGCGGCGAGAGGGCCTCGCTTTCGCGCGGCGAACTTCCCGGCGTGCTGCCACGGGACATGCGGCGTACAAACACACTGGCAAACACACTGGCGGGGTAGAGCGTGCGGGAGGAAGGTCCGGCAGGCTCCATATCGCGCAACGCTTCTCCAAGTGTCCAGGATCGTCCTGGACGAGTCCCGCCGATTTTGTGCGCCGATTTTGTCGCCGAGTGCTCGCCGTCAGAAAGAATTTAAACCTGCCGTCAGAAAGAAGAAAACGCTGGATAGCAGGTATTTCTCTTGGTCGCTCTTCAGTGCCAAAAGCCCAATGTGTGCTAGTGAACACAATCGGGTCCTACAAGACACCACTCAGCTACTTGCTGACTGCTAGGAGAGAGAGAGAGTTGTTTTGTTTTGACTGCTAGTGAACACAATCGGTTCCTACAACACATCACTCCGCTAGCGCTGCGAACAGTCGCTGCGCGAGAACACAAGTCACAACAGATGGCGACAACAAACAAACAAAGAAACAAACACGCCGGCACAAAGAACGGAGCGCGAGTATTCACGGGAAGGGCGTTTCGAGGATTGCGTCGGTGCGGGCGCCGACGTCGTAGCGGGGCGACCGATTCACCACGTGGATGAGCATCTCTATACACTGCAACGCAGGAAGGCACTCTTGGCACTATCCTGGGCCTACGCGACAGACACGTGCAAAGGGGAAAAAGCCGGATAAACGATGGCAGCGCTGCGCCCTCGGCTCACCGTGTGCCAGAGACGCTGGCCCGGTGTCCATGCTTGCCGACATGCAGCCAGCTGCCCAAGACTGAGGCCTCGGTCGGTGGCCATTCCGTCGCATCGCAGGAGAGGTCGGCGCCGCTGCTCGAGTCGCCTCCAAAGAACACTCGGCCGCTGCGCGAATGCTCCCACATCCCTCCTCCCAGGTCGTCGCTGTCGCGCGGCGAGAGGGCCTCGCTTTCGCGCGGCGAACTTCCCGGCGTGCTGCCACGGGACATGCGGCGTACAAAATCGGCGTCAAAGAGCGGCGGCGGCAGCGGCGGCAGCCCCCGCAGACGGCTGGGCACGAACGGGCTGCGAGAGCTCCGCTGGCTCATGGAGGAGCTCGAGTCCGGCACGTCCACACTGGCGGGGTAGAGCGTGCGGGAGGAAGGTCCGGCAGGCTCCATATCGTCCTGGACAGCAAGTCTCCATATCGCGGCGAGCAAGTGCTCCATATCGGCCTCCAAGTGTCCAGATCGTCCTGGACGAGTCCCCAACAGCGGATGCTGCGATCGACGGAGCTCTAGGCTCGAGCAGGTAGTATGCTCGCTGGTGCGCTCGCTGCGTTCTGGACGACGCCGCTGGATGTGATGCGTACAAAGCACGTGTTGTGAGTTGGAAAGAGGACCACGGTTTTAACTTCCCCCCCCCTTCCCCTCCCCCCCCCCCCCCCCCACTCTCCTCACCCTCCCGTGCATCCCACGCCGCGTGCATTGGTGGAGCCGTCCAAATTGTGCGTGTCGTGCACGTGGGTATGTATGTATGTAGGAAGGTGAAGAACAGTCAGGCTCGGACTGGACACCAACGCGGTATGTGCGCAGACCACCTATCTCGCTAAGGAGCCGGAACCCAGTCGTTTGGGTGGGAGCGGTAGTTCGGTGTCGGGAGTCGGTCTCGCACGCCACAGCCTCTTGCTGATGCTCAGCCTCCTCTCATGCGTGGCGCCTCTGTCCTGGCACATACAGCCGGCCGCTCCGTCGCACGTCCGGCTGGCCGCCAGCCTGTGCGTCGACGAGTTCACCGCGTTGCCGCTGCCGCTGCTGCCCGTACCCGGCTGGAAGCGCCAGGCGAGGGAGAGGGCGATCGACGAGTGGGCGGCGTCGAGGCGGGCGCTCCTCGCGAGCGGCGAGCCGCATGCCCTCATTGTCGGCCTCCGCGACGCGGCCGAGGCTGGCCGCTTCTTTGAGGGCGTGGACGACGGCCTCCTCGGCTTTGCTGAGCTGGGCCTCCTCCCGCCGCCGCCAGAGGGCCGCGCCGCGGCGGCGGAGCCGGCGGAGCCGGCGGGGGAGGCGATTGCGGGGGCGGAGGCGGCGACAGTGGCGGCGGAGGCGACGGCAGCGGCGGCGGCGGCGGCTGCAGCTGCCGAGCAGCCGATGTACCCTTATATTGCCAACGTCGCCGTCAGGGTTGGCGCGCGGCGGCTCGGCCTTGGCCGGGCGCTGGTGGAGGAGGCGGAGCGCACGGCGGTGGAGCTGGGCTTTGACCGGCTGTACATCAAGGTCGACCGGCAAAACTTTGGCGCGCGGCGGCTGTACGACCGGCTTGGCTATGAGATTTGCTACCTGCAGAACCGGCCGCCGGACCGGACAAACAAGCAGCGGCAGATGCTCTTCTTGAGAAAGGCGGTCGGGGCGGGGGCGGCAGGGGCGGGAGAGAGCGCGCGGGAGGCGGCTCGTACGTAGGAGGCTCTATTTGTGAGCTTGTCGGGAGAGCCAGCGTGCGGTCGCGGGGACGGCGAGAGGAGAGGGGAGCGGGGTTGTTGCACGAGTATATGGGCCAAAAGCGTCGAAAATGTCCCAAAAAAGCGTTTCTCGAGTTTGTTGCAGCTCCGCAGCCTGCGCGCGCTGCCGGGACGCACCGCTGGCTGGATCTGTGCACTCCCTGGGTCCCAGGGAGTGCACAGATCCAACAGGAGTGAGTAGACTCGACGCCGTACTCGAGATGGAGCTGCAGAAAGTACGCCGCCGAACGTGCCACCGACGGCGTCCTGGCGGAGGTGATGGAGTGTGAGACCTGAGGCTGCGGAGGTGACGCCTGAGGTACCGGCCCGTGCACGGCGACTCAGCCGGCGACCGCCACGGGCTCAGACGAGACTTGTCGACTCGTTCCATCTCAGCTTCACCGTGGTCATCGGGCGTCTGTCGACGTCAGGACCACCCATACAGCTCGCGGGTTTGAGGTCGCAAGAGCCAAGATGGTGGCGTTTGGACATCCCAACCATCACACAAGACAGCCTGTAGGTGATGGCGGGACGGCGCAGTGTTTGTGGCACTCGGCAGTAGGCACCCGCGGCACGGCCCCGCTGTCGGCTCTCGCGGGCTGCGGAACCGGCCCCATAAGGGGACGGTCCGGGCGAGTGTGGCAGCTCCTGCGCTAGTATGGGCACCCTCCATCACAACACTACTGATCCTGGTCATCAGAGCTGCCAGGGATAGCGTCAGGATCCGGTAGGAGTCAAAACCCCTCATATTTGAGACATCGTGGCCCATATAGGTTATCATATACTCTCGTGCAACAACCCAGCGGGGAGGAGGGCGAGGGAGACAGCAACTGACAAGCCGTAGCCGAAGCGCTTGGCAGCGCTCAGCGGTGTGTCTGCTTATGTGAGATCAACAAAAGAGTGCCACGCCAGCCGCCGCCGGGTCGCCGGGACGACACAAAGTTAGGCGACATACAGTTACAGACTGAAAAACCCAGAACCCACGGCGCGACAGCGCAGATAAGTAGGAGCGCATGTGCGCATCACACAAAAGATCAAAAGGTACAGATGTCATCGCAAGATCACCGCTCGCTGCGCCGCGGTGAGAGGGGGGGAGAGCAGCGCCGCGACGTCCTCCCTCCGCACCGCGGGGTCGAGCCCCAGCCACGAGCGCGCGCAGCCGAGGCTCTCCTCGTCCTCCTCGGATGACGTGGCGTCGTCGAGCGCCGCGCGCGCGATCCTCGGGATCCAGTCGCCGTCGAGCCACGGGAGGTGATCCGGGGCCAGGGCGACGGCGTGGTAGTGCCACGAACCGAAGGTCGCGCTGCCCAGCAGCTCGGGCACCGCGGGGGAGCGTACCTTGCTCAAAAGCTGCGCCTCTCGGCCCGCGGCGGCCGCATCGCGAGTCGCCTTGACGCAGGCGTTGCGGCGCGTGGCGCGGTGCGTGCAGGTGGTGACGTAGTCGCCGCCGCCGATGCGTGTCCACTCCGTCCCGTTGCCCACGCCCAGGTCCACCGGAAGGGCGTCGGGAGGGGCGAGGTTCGGCGCAGGCGCTCGCGATAGTCTCTCCCACGTGCGCTCTGCCGAGAGCTCGTTGAAAGAGGTGGAGGAACCCTCGTCGAGCTCGGAGTCGGGAGGGCTGACGCGCTCGGACGAGGTGCGGCGCAGGAAGCCACGCAGCTTTCGGAAGACGTCGATCGCCGACTTTGCGGCCACGAGAGGCGGCGGCGCGGCTGGCTTGGCGCGGATTTGAGGCGCCTCGGCCGACGAGGGACGGGGGCTTTGTGAGGCGCTGCCGGCTGGCGGCGGGCTGGCAGCGGCGGCTCGGCTGGGCGGCGACGGCGGCATGAGCCGAAGAACGAGGCGTCTTCGTCCCGGAGTCTGCGTCTCGGACAAGTTGGATTTCGTTTCTTTGACGCGGGCCCAATCCGGATTCGGTGACTTGGACCACTAATAAGAATTCTACGAAGGCCCCTCTCACAGCAGACTGGCACGAACTAGCACCACAAAAGGCACAGCAGACAACGGCCCCTTATGGGCCGTCGAAGAGGCCGTCATACTCCTCCGGCCTCGCCCCCCCTTCCCAACCCTCCCCTTGCTCTTGCTCCTCATCCTCGCGGCGCGCAGTGCGCACCCCGCCCCGCGAAGACGAGCCCTTCCGCCGGCGTGCCTCCCGGGACACAAGTCCAGATAGGCAGATTTCTTTTGTCCTGCGACGGTGTATCATTCACTTTATGCCACCGTTCATATCCGGATATGCAACGGTGGCATAAAGTGAATGTGATACACCGTCGCAGGATATGCAACGGTGGCATAAAGTGAATGATACACCGTCGCATGTCCATTTCCGCGAACAGTCTCCGAACTAAGGCCTCGCGCGCCGCCACCGACACCGTCCCTTTCTTCAGCGGCGCCTTGCTTGCTTGTCGAGCGCGTCAAAACCAACCACGTACTTGTTTTAGCATTCTGCTGCCTCACCACTCGAGACTCGGTGGCGACCACGTCCGCACGTGGGCCCGGGGGCGCCCACAACCGTACAACACTCAACAGTCCTTACTGGACGCTCAGCTCCCACCGAACACAGCACGCGCGACGTAGGTACGACCTTCGTACACATATATTGCAAAATACCATGTGAGCGAGATCGCCTGTGCGCTGGGCCGAACCCGCTATCCGAACGGGTCACTCACTCACCGCCCGGACCTTCTCGAGCTCCGCGTCGCGCGCCGCCACCGTCCCCTTGAGCTCCGCCACCTGGTCGAGCGCGTCGCCGAGCAGCCCCTTGGCCACGCCAAAGTCGCGCAGCTGCTCCACGCCGCCGCTCGCCCGCACCTCGGCGGCGTGGTCGGCCACGTAGCGGCGGCACTGCGCGAGGAGCGGGCGCCCGTCGCCCATCGTGTGCGCCGCCTCGAGCAGCGGCACGGCGGTCGCCGGCGCGACGCTCTCCTGCAGCGCTTGCGCGCATAGCAGCTCGAGGCGCGGCACCCGGTACATCTGCGCCAGCTCCCGCAGGTCGAGCGCGCGCTGCGCCCTGCCGCCCTCCGCCTCGCCGAGGTCGAACTGGTCGGTGAGGAGGTAGCGGACGAGGGCGGTGAAGCTGGCGAGGTCGGTGTGGGCCACCGTGACCTCGGCGGCGTCGCGCTCCTTCATGCCGATGCCAAACATGGTCCGAAAGACCGGGGACCGGGCGCAGAGGTTGCACTTGCTCACGTGCTCGATGTGCTCCTTGTCGTCGCCGACCAGGAAGGTGACTTCCCCTCTGGGAGGGAGGCGTCGCCCCGTGTCTTTGCGAGGTCAGCCAGGATGGTCGAAGGCGGAACGACGATCGGGGCAAAGGAGGGAGGCGGAGGAGGCGCCGCCACGCAGACCTGATGGAGGCCACCGTTGGAACTGACCAACACGTGCTGCCGTCGGCGCTGATGGCGACATCTTCTGGTTCGTCGAACTCCGCCGCGTCGCCCACGCCGTCAGCGCTGCCACTGGTGCCACTGCCCGCGATCGTTGTCACCTCTCCCGTCGCCACCTCAACCCGCCGGATCTTGTCGTTGCCGTAGTCCGCCACAAACAGCGCGCCGCCGTCTGGGCTGATGGCGATGCCAGTTGGGTAGCAGAACTGCGCCGCGTCGCCCACCCCATCCGCGTCGCCACTTTCGCCGCTGCCCGCGAGCGTGGTCACCTCGCCCGTCGCCACCTCAACCCGCCGGATCTTGTGGCTGCCGAAGTCCGTCACAAACAGCGCGCTGCTGTCCGGGCTGATGGCGATGCCAGTTGGGTAGCAGAACTGCGCCGCGTCGCCCACGCTATCAGCGGCGCCATCATTGCCGCTGCCCGCGAGCATGGTCACCGCGCCAGTCGCCACCTCCACCCGCCGGATCTTGTGGCTGCTGTAGTCCGCCACAAACGCCGCGCTCTCGTTTGGGCTGGTAGCAATGCTGTTGACTTTACTTGCCGGCAAGGCTGCCACGCGGCGCACGCGCCCGGCCGCCGAGACGTGCAGCAGCGAGTCCTTAGTCGCGACATACCAGGCGCCCGCGTGGTCGCTCGCGATGCCGACCTCTGTCACCGAGCGATAGAGGGCCGTCCTCGCCCTCGAGCGCCAGCGTGGTGACCTGTCCGACGACACCGCGCGCGCCAAAGATGGGCGCCTCGAAGCCATCCGCGACCGGCACGGGCATCCCGCCCTCCTCGCCGCCGCCGGTGCGGGCGCGCTTGCGGGAGGCGGACGCCATTCGCTGCTGGATTCGGGACACGGGCTCGTGGATCGTGGTGGCAACACTCCGATTACTGACGCATGCGATTACTGACGTATTTACGCGTAGAGTACCCCATCAACGGTGTCGCGCAGAAACGCGCTCCCTGTACACGGCGCGCTGCGCTCTGGCTGCGGTTTACATTTCTCTCACTAAGTATAGTGCC